ACCAGTCCATGCTGGGAAAGTCCATGCTGCCTGGGGAATTCTGGGAGTTGAAGTCCACGAGTCTTAAAGTTCCTAAGTTTGGACACCCCTGCCCTAAAGAGTTCTTTCTTCACTTAATGTTCTTGGGGAAATTCCCTTAAACATGTTGCTGGACACTTGGCTGTGTGTTTTTAGTATCTAATTTATCTATCATGTTTGTTCCCCCAATTGTCTGTTGTCTTGTATCCTAACGTCTATCTCCCAGCCTCAATCTGATCCTGTCCATCATGTAACCGAACATCCATGCAGCACGCAGGATCGAGAAGGGATCCCTGGCAGGGCAGTTGACGGCGGGAGATTTTCTTCTATCACTCTAAAAGGGGGAGAGAACATCACTGTACACCTTTTAATAAAATAAGTGACTTCAGTAACATTTTTAAAACAAAATGGATTGAGTGGTCTCTTAAACCTTGGAGGTGTTCTGACCCAGCTCCCCAAACACGACAAACCCTCTGAAGTGGACTCAAAAGATTCCTTTATTAGGAGCGCCGGCAGCCCCAGCAAAAAGTTTCTCCCTCACCACAGGCTAACAAGTCTGCCCAGCAGGGAGATGAATAGTTGTCTGCCACATCTATTCATCTCCGCCCCCTGCCTTTTATCCCCAGAGTTAGAGTGGGGCTTCACTAGCAGCGGTGGCTCTTCTGTCCTGAGGGCCGGTCCATAGATTTCCACTGCTCTCCTCTCCTCTGCCACTTCTATTCATCTTCACCCCCTACCTTTTATCCCCAGAGCTAGGGTGGGGCTTCACTAGCAACGGTGGCTCTTCTGTCCTGAGGGCTGGTCCAGAGATTTCCACTGCTCTCCTCTCCTCTGCCTTCTGGGCATCCGCACATCAGACACTGGACCCAGCCGTTCCTCCTCTTCCTCACCAGACCTGGGAGCTGTTGACTCCATCTGAAGGCTGACGTATGGCCCAGGCTCCACTTCTGTCTCTCTCTCTCTTCCCACTCCATTCCCTCTTCCCCCTCGGAGCTCCCAGGTTGCCTTGATGCTAGTCCTGACTCCTCCTCCTCCTCTGATTCAGGTGCTGGAGGGGCCCACAGCCGACAGTCCACAACAGGAAGATGCTTTTCTCTGCAAGCGTTAATGAAGTCAAAATTTATACACATTTCTGTCTGGGGAAAATGAAAAGGCTTGTCCTATTTTCCAGGCTCTCTGACAGTTCCCTGTAGGAAGAAAAGAGTTCATCAACTGCTATAATTTTTAAGTGTTTATTTTTAGCCTCGAAATGTCCTTGGTCCTCCAGGCCGCTTAAAAGGCTTACTTTCAGGTCTCCACTGATTCGAATCATCCGTGACCTGATAAGTGATCTCTAGGGATCCCTTTAGCTTTAGTCATGCAACCCAGCTTTAGGAGTGTCAACCACGTGATAGCAACCAATTAATATGAAATAATTAAAAAAAAATGCTGAGAAAAAGGGGCACTTTGGAAATAATACATTTCATATTTTATCGCCTTGGAGGAGTGGAGAATTTAAGGTGGTTTTGGGCAGGATTGTTTTTTTGTTTCTTAATGTGACTTTGCTATAGGATATTAAAGGATGGCTTCCCTTAACACAGGTGGTCCTCAACGTGTTAAGGATGTTGGGCTCAGTCGTGTTAAGGTAAACCACGATTGCGCCCAAAGTTTCTGTTTCTAAGTGAAACATTTGTTAAGCGGGTTTTGCCCCATTTTACGACTTTTCTTGCCACAGTTGTTAAATGAATCACTGCAGTTCCAACCGAACTGGAAAAAAAGTGACTTGTAGCCATTTTTCAAACCTACAAACATTGCAGCATTCTCAGGGAAACGTGATCATAATTTGGGCGCTTGCCAACTGACTTACATTTATGACGATTGCAGTGTCCCAGAGTTACATTGATCCCTTTTGCGACCTTCCGACAAGCAAAGTCAATGAGGAATTCACTTAACGAGCATGTTACTCGCTTAACAGGAGCTGGTCATTTGCATTCTTTAGAGCAGGGGCGCCCAAATTTGGG